TTTCAATATTTTAGGAGAACATTGATATATTGATGTTGAAAAAATAATAATAAAATATTGTGTGCTTTCAAAGTAACACACATCGCGAAGAATTATACTTTGTATTCCTAAAAAAAAAAAAACAAAAATTACATGTTTATCCCTAAAGGAAAACATACAATTTATTTCATATAAACTTTGATTTTTATACGATATATCATAGTTAATTGTGCTTTTGAGAGTTTGTTATGTCTTTTATTTTGATTAAATAGATATTTAAATTTAAAACATTGTATTGCACCATAAGTTCAATTATTTGACACGATTGATTGGACCATTATTGAATCAATAATAATGTGAAATTAAAAAATTCAAATTGAATATTCAATGAAGAAGTAGAAGATTCTTCAATCCATTGAATTCCTACATACTATTTGTTCATCGACAATTGATCATTAAACATCACTAACTAAAATATGGATTGAATTCTCTATATTTTTGGAAATTAATTAGGATGATATATAGGGCCCATCACCCACCACGGTGACCATCTAAATATTATTTTTATCTAATAGATTTGATATAAATACAGGATTATTGTATGGTGTTCACAACCTGAAGTTTGCGAAATTATTGCTCAAATCATGAGCATAAGTTTCATAATATATAATCAAAATCGTATCTTATTAATCCTAGTGGGCATAAATCTCAATATTTTAATAAGTGTTAGTTAAGATATCGATAAATGGTTTAACACCGTTATTTGTTAAATGCCTCTAATTAATTTAATTGAGAATGAAGTACTTTTAATTTTTTAGAGAATTCTATTACGCATCATGCTAACATCATAGTTCTCCCTTATTATTAATTGGCTTATGTTTAGAGCCTAATTTTTCCATTTAATCATTTTTATAGTGTAATATATATAAAATTGATCCATCACAATGTACTGAGATGGAAAATAAAGAATGTTGAGAATAAATACGTAGTTTTAGCTCTCATTCCAAATGAATGATATTTTATAACACTGAGAAAAATGATTGTCAATTTGATTGGATAATTCTCTCAACAATAGAAGAGGAATTAAGAAGTTGAAAATAATGTATAAGTGTATTATCATCTAAATTCTCGCTAAATATCATTTTAACTAGAATTTCGAAAGATAATTTATTTAGATCCATTTATTGATCAAGAAGATAAAAAATATCTCACGCGCCAGTTTTAAATGCTCTAGGACGAATTGCTGTTCTATAAGAACAATTTGTTAGCATTATATTTAGTGTGATAGTGTTCGATTCTAATATAAAAATTTTTCAAACAATTAAGCAATTAGCAAATATGGTATCATTAAGGAGGCATATACTCTCGATGAGTATTTAGATATAACAAATTATAAAATTTCAGAAGAGGTTCATGTACTTGAAATGTTAAAAATTGAAATATCTAAATAAGTTATGTTACTATGGGAAAAGAAATAGAATTGAATAAGAAAAGAAAAAGTTGTCGATAACATTTTTATATATGATGTACTGTATCATATTATGAATAGCGGGAAATCGTAATAAATACATCGAAATATATCGATCGAAGTAATGTTTGGCCAAATAAAAGATAACAATCCTAAATTAAATTTACTAGAAAAATGTGAATTTTTTGGACTTATAGTCCGAATATCTAAAGGTACTATACGAAAAGGAAATGAGAAAACTGAAATCGTAATGTGTAATGCATGACTCTTAACATAGTGAATTTCACAAAGATCATCGTGGATGAAATCACGAGTCAATATCATGTTATCTTGATGATACATGAAATTTAAAATACGTGAGATCTACTAATCTGGCATGATTATTAATGTTATTTTTGAAAAATTTAATATACCTAAAGCATAACTCAAATGATATATGCCTGAGAACCATGTTTTTAATTAAGTTGTAAAGACCATTATATGGATTGACAGAATCCTGATGCATGTGATATAATCGCCTTAGCAAATATTTATTGAAGAAATGTTATAAAAATAACAATATTTATCCATGTGTTTTCATGAAGAAAATAAATATTGGATTTTCTATTGTACAGCTTATATTGATGACTTAAATTTAATTGAAACATCTGAAGAGCTTAACAAAACTACTGATTATTCGAATAATGAATTTGAGATAAAGCATTTGGAAAAAACCAAATTTTATCTTGAATTGCAGATTGAATATCTTTTTATATGGATAATGTACATCCATTGACATCGACTATGGTTGTTAGATAACTTTATGTGAAAAATGATCAATTTCGTTCACTTGAAGTGTACTATTGATTTGAGATTATTTTATCCGTAAAAGTCGGGATCTGTTTTAGTGGGATAAATTATCTATCTGATCTATATAAAGTTAAATCACAAACAAGATGTGTTTAAACGTGGTGGAACAAGTATATCACGAAGATCTGTGAAACAATCATTAACAGCTATATCTTCAAATCATTATGATATTATTGCAATCTATGAAGTATGCCGAGAATGTTTATGGTTTAGGACATGATTCATCATATCCAAACATCATGTGAGGTTAACTCTAATAAAAGATAGTCTAACAATTTTGTATGAAAATAATTCAGCTTGTATTGCATAACTCAGAGGAGGCTTTATCAAATGTGACAAGACGAAGCATATTTCTCCAAAATTATTTCATACACATGAATTTCAAAAGAATGACATCGATATCCAACAATTCGCTCAAATGTCAACGTAGTCGATTTATTTACAAAAGCACCGTCAACATCTACATTCAAGAAATTAGTTCATGAGATTGAAATGCGTCGACTCAAAAATTTTCAGTGATCAACATAAGAGGAACAACTGTACTCTTTTTACTTCGCCTAGGTTTTATAGGTTTTCCTAGCAAAGTTTTAACATGGCAGTATTTATTTTTTATATTCCAAAATAATTGTCCTCCTTTTCCCTTCGTTCGATTTTTTTATCCTATTGAATTTTTATCAAACAAGGTTTTAACGAGATAGATATTTTATAATGTGTTATTCAAGTGTTATAAACGGTAAGTTTATTAGAGTTTACAAATGACTGACAATTGTACCCCGTAGCCCTAAAAATTATTACTATTGTATCCCTAATTCTGACTTATAAATATAGGACTTTGGTTCTTAATAAAACACATACAAGTCTATTGATTTCTCTTTATTTTCTCTCTTTTTATATCAAATAGTACAATATATGTAAAATTGATCAACCACAGTGCACTAAGATAAAAAGTAAAGAATATTGAGAAGAAATACGTAGTTTTAACCCTTATCTCAAATTGGTGATATTTAATAATGCAACTTTCTAATTGTCAATTTGATTGGACAATTTTTTTGCCACTAGGAGGAGGAATCAAGAAATTAAAAATGATATACCATCCATAATTATTTTTGAAAGATAATTTATTTATATGCATTTACAGACCAAAGAGATAGACAATATATTACACACCAGTTTTAAATGCTCCAACTCAAGTTAATGTCTTGGAAGATAATAAGTTAATATTATATTTGATAAATTTATGGCACACTTGGAATGTGATGATATTCAATTCTAATCTTCAAACAAAAATGGACTATTTAGAAAATATGATCACATTAAAAAGACATATAATCTTGTTGAGTATATATGCATAACAAATTATAAAACCCCAGAAGAGGTTTACGTACTTGATATATTGAAGATTAAGATAAAGTTATATCATTATGGAAAAAAATATAATCGAAAAAAAAAGTTGTCGTCAATACTTTTACAAATGATGTACTGCATCATATTATGAATAACAAAGAATCTAAATGAACTCGTTGAAGCATATCAATCGAAGAAATGATTGCTCAAATAAAACGAAGCGGTCGTGCTAAAATTGAATTTCTAAAGAAACCTGAAGTTTCTTAACACAATTCTAGTAAAATTAAATTTAGTAGGGAAACTTGAAATTTTTGAATTTACAGTTTGTAAACCTAAAGGTGTATATTGATGTGAAATGAAAATGAATAATAGTAAAAGTTATAATATGAAATGTACAATTATTTGTATAATGAATTTTGCGAAGACTTGTGTAAATAGATAATTATCATGTGACAAATGTAATCACAAGTTTTTATTTTATTAGTCTAAATACATGAATTTGCTATGCATATAATATATTTGATTATAACCAACTCATTTTACATAACTATTAATGTTACCTTAAAAGATTTAATATATCTGAAGCATATAATTAGAGTGATATTGTCATAAAAGGGGAGAAAATATGCGTTTTACTCTTATTTCTCGATCAAAATTTTGTCCATTAATTTCCCAACAAGGTTTTTAATGAGACAAATTTTGTGGCGTTACTCTTTTTTTCTTTATTAGGATTTTTCTCACAAAATTTTTCTTAATAAGGTTTTAACGATGTATATTCTTTGTGTAATAAATGTCGATAACAAACAATATATTTACCCGCATAATAACTATTATATGTACAAAACTCTCGAAGAGACCAAAAGCTATTTTTTGAATCATCATGTTACTACAGTTAACAAGTTTTGTCTTTCTAGATATTCTTAAAGACATTGATATATAAGATATGGATCGCTCAATACAAGGATTGAAATTAAGAGGGGTAACTGTACTCTCTTTTTTTGTGATCAAGTTTTGTTTCATTGAATTTTCTTGATAATATTTTAATGAGGCATCATTTTATTACTTCAAATTTTGTATTTATTCATTTGTTGACATTTTAGTCCGTCAAGTTCTTTGCTAAATAATGTTTCAATAAAATAGTTAGTGTAAATAGTCATTCAAGAAGAGTGTTTTAAATATAAAAGTGTTTATAAATGACTTTTATAACCGTTTAGCTCTACTCATTATAATTATTGTATTTTTTATAACACTAATTCTTTTCTATGAATATGGAACTCTAAGAGAAAATATACGAATTTGTTAACTTTTCTCACTTCAATTAGTCTGGTTTATAACAATAGTGCATTTATAGAAAAATGTGGAATTATAACCAAAATACTGGGCGAAAAGACCCGAAAACCATGTTCCTTGTTTGCCCTCTCCCCATGATTATATTCACAAACTACATCCTAACGCCGAAACTGCAGTTGGCTAGGCGATTCGTTCCGTCCCGGAGCGTGTCAACCCTAAAACACTCCACCGCCTCTTTCAGATTCTAACACTCTTAAGCCCTAAACCTGAAACAGCATTTTCAATCCCACAATAAAATTGATTCCATAATCCGAATAAAAGAAATGGTTCAGCAAAAACCCATCAAATTTTTTTGCATGTCGAGAGGAAATCAATAAGCCGTGAAGCGATTCACAACGATGCCATTGTGGGCTCAAAGAGTTTCCATTTCCAAGATTTTCTCTACAGCTTTTCTCCATGGTCACGCCCAGATAGAGTCATGCCTCTTCCACTCCTCCACTCCTTGGTTCGTAAAAGTAGTGTGTACTCTGTGTGTTCGTGACTCGCAGTTTCTCACTGTTTTTAATTCGGATTATTTCTGCAAAAATTTGAACCCTTTTATAGCTTTCAGTGTTATTCAACATGTAAATAGTAGACTAAATAACCCCAGATTGGCATTTAGCTTCTTTCAATATACAAGGCTTCATTTAAATCTCATTCATTCGATTCCTACTTTTGAGTTGCTTCTGAGGTCACTCTGCCAGGTGGGCCTGCACGATTTGGCTAATTTATCATATGAATACATGAAAACAGATGGATTTTTCCCCAATAGCTCGGTTTTAGATTATACAATTTCGTCCTTTGTGAATGCCGGCAGATTTAGGACTGCCGAAGAAATTTTGATTTCACTAGCTGAGTTGTATATTGACAAAGATGAGGTTGTTAGTTCTTTTGTATGCAACAATTTGTTGAGCTTGTTATGTAAAAGAAATCAGGTTGATGAGGCAGTTGGTTTTTTTAGAGAGCATATTTTGAGTTTACGAGGGTTCTGCCCAGATACATGTAGTTTTAATATAATTATGAGGGGATTGTGCAAAGTGGCAAACGTAGATAAGGCTTTTGAGTTTTTTGATAGTATGAGGAGTTTTGATTGTTTGCCAGATCTTATTACGTACAATACACTCATTAATGGGCTCTGTACGGTTGGTAATGTGGACAGAGCACAGAAGCTATTGAGAGAAGTTCAATCACAAGGTGAATTTTTGCCAGACATTGTGACATATACATCAATTATTTCTGGATACTGCAAATTGGGTAAGATGGAGAGGGCTGCTGATCTTTTTGATGAATTGAGTAATCGTGGGATTAGGCCAAACTTAATTACTTTCAACGTTCTTATTGATGGTTTTGGCAAAAAGGGAGAAATGGTTTCAGCATCGGAGATATATGAGAGGATGGTTGGTGGTGGCTATCATCCTGATGTTTTCTCCTTCACCTCTCTCATTGATGGTCATTGTCGGGCTGGTGGGTTAGAGCAAGGTTTGAAGCTGTGGGATGAAATGAATGAGAGGAATGTGTCTCCAAATTTATTTACTTTCTCTGTTCTCATTAATGCTCTGTGCAAGGAGAATAGACTAAATGAAGCTCGTGATTTATTAAGGCAGATGCAATGGAGGGAAGATATCATTCCCCAACCATTTGTATATAATCCTGTAATTGATGGATTTTCTAAGGCTGGTAATGTAGACGAGGCGAATGCTATTGTCGCAGAAATGGAGGTGAAAGGATGCAGCCCTGATAAGCTGACATTCACCATTCTTATTCTGGGGCATTGTATGAAAGGAAGAATGTCTGAAGCAATAAGCATTTTTGATAAGATGTTGACATTGGGTTGTGTCCCAGATAGTATTACCACAACCTCTTTAGTATCTTGCCTCAGAAAGGCAGGGATGACAAATGAAGCCTATAAGATAGAGCAACATATATCAAATGATATGCAGTCAGGTTTATCAACTTCAGAGAGAAACAAACCATTCAGGAGTAACATGGATATTACTGTGGCTGTTTAGTTGAAATCATTATCTTGCTTTGAGCTTAGCATTTGTGCAAGGCCTCACCCGAACGCACTTCAGTCATAAGCATTTCAGCATGTTCTATTTACTCACCAGTGGCAGTAAGTTCACTTCCTTGTTTACTCTATCGAATTAATTGCTACTATCTTCCCATTCTTTCATTTTAAAGTAGATACTTTTATGCTTCACATTCTTATGGGTAGATAGATTTGTTGCTTTTGTCTTTCTTGTTTGATCATATGTGTTGATGAATAAGTTATTAGCCATAATACAATCAAATCAAAAGTTATCAGACCCAGAAGTTGTATTGGAAGAAATAAGTGGAAAAAAATTGCAGGGTGGAAGCTACTTAGTGTATTAGAGACTTGCTATATGCTTGCTAAGCATCTAGAATGAGTAAATTTAGCTGAAGCACAGGCCAAGATGCCTGATCTTCAAACTTAGTTTCTGCACGTTAACAGATTGTATTTCAACGATAAGTTGGATTAAGAGAAAGCAAAGGGAAGAAGTCATGATAGTAATAAATATGCTTATTCTTTGCTATTTTATTTTTGTCTCAGTGATGCATTAATCCAGGCTCATGCTTATGATCAAGAGATGTATTGGTCAGAGCAATTCTGGATGATTTTTAACATCTTCGGAATAGAAAAGATTGCTCTGCTTTAATCGATGTTTAAGAAGATGTAAAAAGGTACCGAGGCAGTTTTCCTTCGTGCCCTCGAGGCAGTTTGAGACGTAAGTCTCATCACAAACCAAAAAACCAAAATATTGAATCAAAAAATTATAAAATAATACAAAATAAAGATGTAATAAACCATAAAAAAATCTTCAAAATTCTCAATAAAACAAACATCAAAATAAATTAATAAAGTAGCAAATAATCAATAGTCCTGTTGAAAAAAGTTTAAAAGTCTCCGGAGCTGCCAAGGTCAAAGAAAAACTTTAGTTGGTAACTTAGAGTCAGAATAATAGCAAAGAGAACAAAAATTTCAGAAATAAAATTAAAAGCAAAATAACCTGCTGCAAACCGCCTGAGTTTTGTAGACTTAGACGCTGAAAGAATATTGTGGGGTGGGTGGTTTCTGACTTGGGAATTGGGTAGAGGTGTGGAGCAGGATATGAAAGCTTTTGGGTTTTTTTTTTTTTGGTCCTGGGTGGGCGTAATATTTGAGTAGTTTAGCTTAAACAAGTAAAAGTAACTGTTGGGCCCACTTAGAAATAAAGTTTCTGATGTGTCTTTTTACATATTAACAACAATATTGAGACACATGCCGTAAGGCTTGCACCTCGAGGTGTCCTCATCAAGCTGAGGTGTGTTCCTCAATAAAGTAGCATAAAAATTGATCCTTGAGTCACAAACCTTACGCCCTCATGACCGCCTTTTTAAACCATGGCTTTAATTATTACAAATATTGTTGGAACTAGCAATTTATGAAAATTTGTTAGTGTAAGATTTTTTGGGAAAATGTAGAAGTATTAACGATGAACAGACCTTGATTGACTCTTAATGCTTCTAAATTATATTACAACTGGTGTGAACTTTTCCAGCAAATCACAATGCATTCATAAAAAAGAAGCGCACTCTACTCCATTGCCTCTTAAAGAACTTTTCGGTTTGACTAGTACGGTCCTAGCATATAGAGATCTGCAAATGACAATATCTGGAAAGCAAAGATCTGTAAATACACTGATTCAGTTATTTGGGAAAATAAAGTTATTGTTTTTAGTGAAAATTTACTTTAAACAATCCTATGTATAAATCTCAGGCATAATTAAGTTTTCTTCACTTGCTGAATCAACCGTTAGTTACCCAAGTGGGCATTGGTTAGTTGTGGCGTGCTCCATATGCAAATGAGATGGGATACTTTGGTGCCTAGAAGTGTATAAAATTAAGCAAAGGTTTGTAGAAAAACAGTTTTCCCAATGGTTAGTTAACCCAAGTGGGCAATGCTTAGTTGTGGCGTGCTCCGTATGCAAATGAGATGGGAAACTTTGAGGCCTAGAAGTGTAGAAAATTAAGCAAGGGTTTGTAGAAAAACAAAACTACTAATTCTAAAGAGCCATTTTGGTAATCAGTTTTCGTGCCGTTAACGTAGGAGCTCTCAGTTGTAGTTTAAAATTTGGCATTTAGTTTCTTCTTCTTCACTTTTTTTTTAATTACCGTGGGTATTTGGGCCAGTTTACACGCAATTTCAACTAATTTCACGAGCCCCTGAAGTTTACAAGTTGGATGCTTACCTCAGTGGCCCTGAGGGGACTCGAATCAGTGATCATTGGGGAGCAAATCCAAGACCTGATCAGTATTTAGTTTCTTGTGGTTAGGGAATTCTGTATGCCTTTCCCTCCACACTTCAATCTTTATATACTTCTTTTTTATATTCAGAAAATATACAGATATTATCAAACCTGTTTTCATGGCATTAGAGTTTCTCTTCCACGTCTCTTCCTGATTAACCCTGTTCTTTCACTTAGTTACCTTCGTCTTTCCTACTACATTTAATCATTTGTTCATCATGTTTGTAGCTAGTGAAGTCGTTTCACCATGAAATTCTATTTCACGAGTCCTTCAAGCAGCATATCATGTATCACTAACTGAATGGATAGAACTTTATTGGTATCAACTGTGAAGACGATTTTTTGTGGGAAGGGTAAGTTTGGTCGTATTGCTGATGCTGCAAAACCTTTGCCAAGAGAGAGGAATGTGCATTCCAGATTTGGGAGGCTGAAAACTCAATAGTGATGGCCTGGCTTGTGAACTTGAAGGAGCTTGAAACTGGACAAATTTATCTCCTTTTGTCAGCAGCAAAAGAGATGTCGGATGCTGTAAATAGATACCCTTTCTGATGTAAGGAATTGAAGCGTTTGATTCTTAACACCAACATTTTCTTTGAACTAGCTCTTGTCCACATTCTCGGTTCAAGCTCATGATAGGTGAAGTAAATGATTAAGGACCACTTACTTAGGATAACCAGATATTTCTTGAACCTACTCATAAGACAGTAAAAATGCAAATACACCCTGCATGGCCGTACACCCAATCTTCCATTTCTTTTTGGAGTCTAACTAGTAAGAGCTAGGCCTATCAGAATGCTCACGTTATTGACTTAGGTCTATGTAGCACTTTGTCCCTGTGATGCTCGGACTCGCTGAAATGACCGGAGTACCCGTGTCGACACGGGTACTGGTATGAAATATGGGGCGGGTTCTTCACTTTTCAAGTCGACAAGGCAGCGTCTGGATGTGGGGTGGAGGCGGAAATAGGCAGCGAGAAGGCAACGATGGAAAGAAGCAGAATGGGTGCAACAGGAAGAAGACGATCTGGAGAAGACGAGGAGATGACAAAGGGATTTATGGACGTGGGATGGAAGTAGAACAGGCGCAACAGGAAGAAGATGATTGGAGAAGACGAGAGGATTTATGGCCCAAGTTAGGTTTTTGTATGTAATGACGGGTTAATTGTATGGGATGGGTTGGGTTAAAATAATTTTCGAGAAGTGGGGTTTGGTTATATGGGCCAATATTCTTGGGGTACAATAACTTTTGTATTTAGGGCTGTTGGGTATATATGTCTTTGTAATTGGTATGTGATTGGGGTTGTTTTGGACTTGATTTAGTTAGTCAGGGTGGGATGTTTTATTTGCCACTTAAGTATTATTTAAGAATTTTTGAAAAAAATAAAAAAATTGAAATGAAAAACGTATCCACTTATCCGTGTCCAAAATTTGGACTCTTAGTCATGTCCTCGTATCCTACATTTTAGAAAATAAAGGATCCGACACTTAGATACGTATCCATATCCGTATCTGAGTCCCAGCATCATAACTTTGTCTTATGTGCGGCAGCCATTTATCGATATTAGTCCTTGGAGACCTCCATGTTGAAGATTTGCATTCTGGAGATATGGGTTCAAGCATTTAGATGGACTCAAGGCCATCTTCTTCCATCGGTTAGGATTAGCTGTTTAAGTTGCTTTTTCTGGGTCGTCCTGGCAATTAATAACTTGGTAGTGGAAAATGGTAAAAATAATTGTGACTGCCCATCACTAATAGTCATTTACTGCCTGTGAAGAGAAATTTAAATTTCTATCAACTCCATTTTATGAGTTAAGATTGAAATATTTAGCACAAGAGGTGGAGCAATAGCATGCTAGAAGAGGTGATCCCTTATTCTGTCCATATATTTGGGATTATTGACTTGTGATGTTTTCTCCAATTCTAAAACTCTCGTGTAAGCACCGTTTGAGCTAAGGTACTCATCTTATTAAAAGTTTATTCTTCTTGTGAATTTCAATATACTGGTCTGTTCCATAGCTTTTGATCTCATATCTAAGCTTCTTGGTGGTGCCTGCTTTTTATCTTCTTATATTGGGTGGCTGAACAATTTTGGAAGTATAGTGGTGCAGCTGCAAAATCTACCTTTGCACATGGTAGTTTGATATGTCTAATTCATGGATGCACGAAGTGTCAATGTTTTGGAAAATAATTAGTTCTTGCTTGGCTAAGATTTTAAGTGCTTATAAGCAGTAGGTCCCAAGGAATATCGGATTCAAAAGTAGTTAAAACTTGTGGGTTATAAGAAATGTGTATAAACACTTAAAAAACTTCGCAAAACATATGCTTATTATGGTTTAAGGTTCTGAGGATTATCCATAAAAATGCATATGTTATATAAGAAATTTAATGATGTAATGCAATATGCATGAACATACATTCTTAAGAGAAAGCAATGGGCTTGGCATTTGGATTCTGATAACTTGTGGATTAGGGCCCAGCGAGCTGAAGCTTATCCAGAATATTAAAAGAATATAATCCACTGCTCTGTGTAAACTGTTTTACTTAGTTTATCTGCTTTCCGTAATGTTTTCCGTTGCACTTAACATTTTCATTGATTGTTCTCTCCGAACTGCTTGACTTTTGAGGCATGATTATTATACTTCATACACCTCTGCAGCAGGCTGTAGAATGTGTCATCATCCAGTGCAAATATGCGAACACACTAGAAATGTCAATTTATCTGAACATATGTAGTTGTATTGATTTTTTGATTCAGGGGTTCTAATTTTCTATATCGTATCTCAAAGCTGAATTTGGTGATTTATATCTGTACCTGGAACATGGGGAGAAATAATTTGCCTTGAGGTTTTCTTCAATCTCCATCTCTGTGTTACGCTGCGTGGCTGATGGTTTACTCATTCAGTGACTTTTGCTTTAAGAGGTACGGATTGCATTCTTCTGGTTTTATATTCTTTTGTATCACTATTTTTAAATCTATCACTGTCATCATGATTGTGGTTTGAATCAGTAGGATTTGTTATAAAGCAATATTATTGCAAATCTTGATAGGTAGGTAGTATTGATATCTATTCAATCTATCTCCATATCTTTTGAATTTATTTTTTATTGTCGCACACACTCAATACTGTAGCCATGGGTGGACTTTTTTTTTTTTTTTTGGACTGGGCTAATATATGTGTGTGTGTATTTTTTTATTTTTATATATTTTTAACATTTTTTCACATGTAAAAAAAGTACATGGGCTTGGGCTGCCTGTGCACCTCCCTATCTACTCCCCTGCATACGCTAGATGCTTAAAAAATTCACCTGCATTTATACTTTTATGTACTTTATGGGCAAACCTCCCTAGCTACTCCCCTGCATACACTAGATGATTAAATAGTCGACCTGCATTTGTAATTGTATGTTCTTTATGGGCTAGGAAAGCGTGCATTTTTCTACTCCCCTCAGACAGTTCATTCATCATAAACCACATTTTTTTGAATCTTATAATGTCTGTGACATGATGTGCCATATTCAGAATTGTACAAGTTTCTTGCATTTGAAGCTTCATGAAATTATCTGTCACCACAGTGTTGCTTTGCTTTGCTTTGGTCTTTGTGTGTGCATGCATACCTTGAGATGAGATATTTTTCCTTAGATTTAAATTTTTGTTCCGTTTTTGCACTTCTATTTGCCTGGCTCTTTAAATTGCTTGTCGACTCATATTGGGTGCCAAGGTATTTTTATAGTTGATGCATAATTACTGGGTTTCCATGATTGGAAGATCGTGATTATAGTAAGGATACGATCATTTAATAAGTTTGAAGGGCTGATTTTCGACATTTTCATCAATCCATTGGCCTTGTGGGGTTAACCTGTCAAGCGCTAGATTAACTGTGGCATTTTCACTTTGTAAACTGAATACTGTGTTGTACACTGTAATATTGTAATGCTGCTTGAATTGGTTTCACATTTATTCAATTATTCTGCTCTTTTAGATAGAAAGATAATGTCATTCGTGCTGTCCATTGCTTTAATTGGTTTATGACGCTCAAGGTTCAGTTCTGTAGGTGCTAATAAACTAGCGGGAAATATCGGCTATATTAGATGTTCTGTAGTTTATTTTATTTTATTTTTTGTTCTTTATTGCAATTGTAAAGTTATATTTGACTGATGTCTCCTGAACACTTGTGCTGATGAATGATGACAGAACAGCAAATTTGGTTAAACTTCAAAAAACGTAATAGTACTTTTTTGTAAGCAAGTAAAGATTTACTTTTCAAAAAGTAAGTTTTTGACTGAATTTACTTCGACTTCGTTGGTTAAAGAAATTATTTAAAATTGACTTTTAAGCTTGGACATGTGTTTTGCTAAAGTCAAAAAGTTACCGTTAATTACATTTACTTTTTCTTAATGCTCAGCCAAACATTCTTGTGCTGCTATTATATAGATTATTGTCCAATTCTTCTAATGTATCGGTCGGAGGAGGGCCTTCTGAAGGTCGATATTTTGCATCGTGTATGCACCGACAACCATTTCTGTTGTCTATCTATGTCAAGAGTTACTATCTGGTAAACGTCATGAGTTACTATAGGGTAGATCATACTTCATAATCTATGTATTGATCCTGTGATTGTCTTCATGCAGGCACAAAATCATTCAATCTCAATGGATTCAGCAGGCGCTTTGAAAATTTCTGGACTTTTAGCATCCTCGTGCATTCATGCATCCCAGAAATGGAATTTGATAATATTGCATGCCTTTATATGAAACGTCCCTCCTTTTCTTCCCTGACGGTGACTCCAAAGTTTACAAGGACACCATCTCCCTCTCTCACGATGGCAGGAGGGGAAGGAGATCAAATTACATATTGTTGATTGGAAAGAAGAAAGGGGATGGGGGTGTTACTTTGCCATATCAATACCTTGTTGTGGAATGGAACTTCAAATAAAAATGCATTAAAGAGAAAAAGGTCTACTAATTTAAACTCTTGTTTGTTTGATCATGGTGCAGTAACCATAGACGACAAGTCAATGAACTGAATGCCATCGATTCATATAAGAAAAAGAATAATGCTAGATGTATATTTTGGTTGACAACTTCCTTGACATCCTCCCATGTTGAAGAAATTGGACAGTGATGTGATGGTTGCGGTCAAAATCAGTGGTGCAGATCTAACCATATAGAGAAGAGTGTAAACTAGAGTGTAATTCATGATGTAGATGTAGCATGGTTGATAACAAAGTCATTAAGATCACAGTGGAAAGGAGGTGTGTAAGTCGTATTTTTGCCGTGCATGTGAGTTTCTACTTTTCTTTTCATTTATTAAGCAATGTTTATTTCATTGTTGATTCAGTAAGGTGCTTACATGTTGAGCGATCATTCACTTCGCTAGTAATCTATTTCTACACGAATGGAATAGACGTAACACGAGTCGAATTAGCAACGTTTGGTTTGTCTAGTGAAGTCGACTGTGTAATACTGAGTGTCAATAAAGAGGAAAAGAAACCAAGAAACCAATCGACGAATTTGATGAACGAATCTTTCATTTTGTTTTCAAGACGAAATTATACAGCAGAAAATCATTAGGGATCACATGTGCGGAGGATAATGAGTCAACCAGCGGTATGTCAGGTAGTGGTAAGAGTGGGGGTGGTTGGGGAAGAAAACATTTTGTATATGAAATTTGTTTTTCTTATTTTTCTTGTTGGTTTACCCTTTTTAAATTCTATCACGTGCAAGCAATACGCTTATTTAACGGAAGAAACAGAGGGAATCAGACAAAATGGACGATTTGTGCTAGCAAAGGTTGATCAGAGAATGAAAATGTCAAAATCGAAACAATATGAGTGATTACAAACTTATTTTCATTTGTAATTCTAAAGTAGACTACCAACTTATTTTAAGAAAATTGAAATATATTTGCTCTTTAAAAAAATATTGATAAGTATTACTCACTATTTAGGAAATTTTGATTTTTATTGTTTATTACTCAAATCCAAAGCTAGATGGTTCTCTCGAAATGAGTTGAGGCACGGTAGTTAATTGTACATCTAAGGGGTAAAGTACCGTTTCAATGTGAGTAGCGAGAGGTATTATATCTTACATATTTTATTGCTTCTCCATATTAAGTCTACAAATCAAGGAAAAAAAACGAAATTTCTACAAATTAAGGGACCAAAACCTTCTTCATTCAAGTTAAGAAATACAATCTTGCTACATGTACATTATAGTTTACACCTTGGCTTACGGAACTTACACTTGGCTCAATCTCACATCATCTTTCATATCTTACACATTTAATTCAACCATCACAATCTTGCCACATCATTCATCTGTTAACAAGGATGTCAAACTTAATGTACAAATAGCTTAATGGTAAGAAATATTGTCACATTTAAGGGATCAAGTAGGTAAACATCCTCCTCCCTTCTAAGATTCCATTTCTTCTAAGAAATATATTCACAAATATCTAAATTTTTTACCTCAGATTTTTCTTTTTACTTAAATATAAAGGTGACATGAATTGTTACTGCATATCTTTAAATGCAGATTATCATTTTTCCTTTGATATTTATTGTTGAAGCCTTGGAATTGTTAGTGCATATCAATGAGATTCATAAAGTGAATTGATGTTGTTTTTAGGGATTTTAAATTTGCAGTTGAAATAATGTTTTGAGATCAGATTGTCCAAAAGAAACGCTTGCATTGATTTTTCAGAAGGAAACCTTCAGGAAAAAAAAAAGGAAAAAGAAAACTCATTTCTACACATTTTAAGCATTTTAGAATAATATGATGATTGATCCATATTTTTCAATTAATGTAGTCAAAACAATGCTTTTCAATTTTCATTAGGAGCATATGTAACACACGAAAGAGAAAGTACAACATAAAGATGAAGCAAGAAGTGACCTCATGTAAATTAAGGGGAAAAATTCATAACTAAGAGATTAAGTATCAAAATCACAAATATTATAAATCACAATTTATTATACAAACACAAACTATCAAATTGTCGATCACAAATAAACAATTTCTAAGTCACATATTATTTCTTGTTTAAAAAATTTATCTTTTTGATCGATCACATATTATATATTGGTTACAAATTAATCAATTTATTGGTCACAGTCCAACCAAATAATTTGCTACTACCACCAATGCTTGCGACCACCATCTCACCCCTACCTCCAACAGCATTACTACCATCGTCATCGCTAAAACTACCACCACCTCCCAACAGCAACACCATCTCAAACAAATCAACATATCACAGAACAATAACACCACATCGTCGCACCTGATCCACTACCACCCCAACAACTCCATCGCCACCACCATCTTTCCATCATCATCGCAACCGCTACCACGATCGCCGCCGCCGCTGACTGCCCCGTCACCCAGTGGCGGAGCCACGTTGAGACGCCCGCACTGAGATTTTAGGCTCAAACAATTTTTTTTTTTAATCAACAGGGGAGGTGGAATAAAAGTATGTTTTAATTCACATGGGTTTTATTTTTAGGCCCAAATCCATGATTTTGTTTTTTAATTTTATCATCATTAAATTCATGACCAAAACACAATCTTCAACATGGGTTAAATCAGGGGCGGACCCAGACCTTTAATATTGTGGGGTCAAAATTTTAAAAATAATTTTTTTAATAAATAACATAATATCAATGAAAATAAGTTTATATGTATTTTGACAATTTGAAACGTCGTATAATTACATCATTATTAATACTATTAAATAAGTTTTGCTACTTATAAAGTTTTGTTTATCATTTCATTGGCAAATGCTGAGCTAACATTGAGTAAATTAAATAGAATATAGAAATTAAATGAGTAGAAATAAAATTCAAATTTAGTTCAGGAAGTAAATGAAATTCAAATTTAAAGCAAATATAATTCGAAAGTAATTCAAATTGCATTTAATCCGTAACGATCCTAAAAAAAATTTACGTCATATTTCATGTATGACTTCCGAATAAAACGATAAAAATTATATTGAAAAATTTATCGTGCAAAATAATAATTAATTGAATTAAAAAAAAAAGAGTTAGACGTCTTTTTTGAGGCGTACGTTTTATATATATTTAATTATTTTCGATATCTGTTTGGATCATTCGATATGAAAACGATGTAATTTTCGAAACAAACTTTTACATGGCATAGACGATTTGTGGATTCAGATAGCACATGATCACAAACGAATTTTTAAAGTTAGGATATTATCGAAATTCTCAGAATACTAGTTTCAAACGCCCTATTTTAACATGTCATAACTTTTGCTATAGTTAACCACTTCGCATGCCATTAATGAGTGAAAAACTAGGCCATGAACACTTTGAAATGATATTAAGAATGTAATATTTTGATTTCAATTTGACATCTCGACGAGTGCATCAAAATAGATTGTTAAAAAGAGGGGGGGGGGCAAAAAAATTTTGGGGTCATTTGACCCCACATGACCTCATGTGGGTCCGTCCCTGGATTAAATTATGCCCGTACTGAAATTATTTCTTGACTCCGCCCGAGTCGTCACAGCCAAAATATGGAAGCTACCACCGCTACTACTTCAACAACGAAAACCAATACCTTACCACCATCAACCACCTATACCACCACCGCACCATTGTCCCGACCACCTCCACCATACCACCGTCAATGCAACAGAAAATTTAAAAAAAAAATATGAACAATTGTACACCACCACCACATCAACTATAGCCATGACCACCCTGACCGCTACCAACTCATCACAACAACTGCAAAACCACCATTATAGAACCCATTGTTGAAAAAAGAATTAGTTGCAGTAGTGATCAGAACAATATAATATAGAAATATAAAACTTATCGTTCGATCGAGTCTCGTGACAGCACGATGTCCTAAAGTGAAATTGCCCGTCAATAATTGCTGCGACCTCCGTGGACAATCACTCCCAGAATACAACGATCGTAAACCACTTGTGCAGCAATCACGAATGATTTTTCTAGAACTCTCAATTGTACTCCAGAATAGATATAAAAACCCGAATATAAGAAATTCACAATATGAAAAGAGTGATTGATGCAAGAAGATTTTTCTATTTGCTTTGTGTGTGTCTTTTCCCAAAACGAGATATGGGTTTATATAGGCAAGATGGTAGTAACAGTCTTCACCATGTTAATACAAAATTTTAATGACTGAGTAGTGGGTGTTTTAATGACAGTTAGTGGATTGTTACAAAAACAAACAGTCATAAAATATTGGCTAGTTTTACCCATTAAATAATAAAGAAAAAAATATTTATTTTAGTCAAGGAAGCCCAATGCCCCAATCAAGACATTTTAATATTTGCGTGGGGAGTGATTCGAACCCCTGACGTCCCACACAAATGTCACATTTTCCACCACTTTGGCGCTTTATTTAATTTGATTATTTCTTTCACATTTTATATTTATACCTTAAATATATAACAATCCCCCACATGAAAAAAATAAGATAAATGAAAATATTACTCTGGAGTACGGTAGAAATCATGCAAGTTTAGGTGTCTATCGACTTGAACCTTGGATTTGTATATTCTATCGAGCTTACTAACTGTAGAGTGAACTATGTCTTGAACTCTACAATTATAGTTGCAAACTGAGACAATAGAACACACACATGATTTCTAGAACAGTCATTGAGTTCTCGC